CACAGTAGTCCAGGTGAGGCCTCACCAGGGCTGAGGAGAGGGGCAGGATCACCTCCCTCGTCCTGCTGGCAACACTCTGCCTAATGCACCCCAGGATGCCATTGGCTTTCTTGGCCACAAGGGCACACTGCTGCCGCATGTTTAACTTGTTGTCCAACAGGACTCCCAGGTCCTTCTCGGCAGAGCTACTTTCCAGCAGGTCAACCCCCAGCCTGTACTGGTGCATGGGATTATTCCTGCCTAGGTGCAGGACCTTGCACTTGCCTTTGTTGAATTTCAGGAGGTTCCTCTCCGCCCACCTCTCCAGCCTGTCCAGGTCCTTCTGAATGGCAGCACAGTCTTCTGGGGTGTTAGCCTCTCCCCCCAGTTTAGTATCATCCGCAAACTTGCGGAGGGTGCACTCTGTGCCTTCCTCCAGGTCATTGATGAATATATTGAACAAGACTGGGCCCAGGACTGACCCCTGGGGGACACCGCTAGCCACAGGCCTCCAACTTGACTCTGCGCCATTCACCACAACCCTCTGCGCTCGGCCATCCAGCCAGTTCTCAATCCACCTCACTGTCCACTCATCCAACCCACACTTCCTGAGCTTACCTATGGGGATGTGATGGGAGACAGTGTCAAAAGCCTTGCTGAAGTCCAGGTAGACAACATCCACTGCTCTGCCCTCATCTCCCCAGCCAGTCATTCCATCATAGAAGGCTATCAGATTGGTCAAGCATGATTTCCCTTTGGTGAAGCCATGCTGACTACTCCTGATCACCTTCTTGTCCTCCAGATGCTTAGTGATGACCTTCAGGAGGAGCTGTTCCATCACCTTGCCAGGGATGGAGGTGAGGCTGACAGGCCTGTAGTTTCCTGGCTCCTCCTTCTTGCCCTTTTTGAAGACTGGCGTGACATTGGCTTTCTTCCAGTCCTCAGGCACCTCTCCTAATTGCCATGACCTTTCCAAGATGATGGAGAGTGGCCTAGCGATAACATCCGCCAGCTCCCTCAGCACTCGTGGGTGCATCCCATCGGGGCCCATGGATTTATGGATGTCAAGTTTAGACAAAAGATCTCTAACCTGATCCTCCTCAACCAAGGGAGAGTCTTCCTTTCTCCAGCCTTCCTCTCTTGTCTCCAAGGTCTGGAATTCCTCAGGACTGGCCTTAGCAGTGAAGACTGAAACAAAGGCAGCATTCAATAACTCTGCCTTCTCTGTATCTTTTGTCACCAGGGCACCCGCCCCATTCAGCAGCGGGCCCACGTTTTCCCTAGCCTTCCTTTTGCTATTGATGTATTTGCAGAAGGCCTTCTTGTTGTCCTTGACATCCCTTGCCAGATTTAATTCCAACTGGGCCTTAGCCTTCCTTGTCGCATCCCTGCACGCTCTGACAAAGTCCCTGTATTCCTCCCAAGTGGCCTGTCCCCTTTTCCACCTTCTGTACACTTCCTTCTTCTGCTGGAGTTTGGCCAGGAGTTCCTTGCTCATCCATGCAGGTCTCCTGCCCGCTTTGCTGGACTTCTTCCTCAGAGGGATGCACTGATCCTGAGCCTGGAGGAAGTGACGCTTGAATATTAACCAGCTTTCTTGGACCCCTCTTCCCTCCAGGGCCCTATCCCAGGAGATTCCCCTAAGTAGGTCCCTGAAGAGGCCAAAGTCAGCTCTCCTGAAGTCCAGCGTTGCAATCCTACTCAGTGCCCTGCTCCCTCCTCGTAGGATCCTGAACTCCACCATCTCATGGTCACTGCAGCCAAGGCTGCCCCCAACCTTCGCATCTCCAACTAGACCTTCTTTGTTCGTTAGTACAAGGTCTAGCATTGCACCTCTCCTCGTTGGCGTCTCCACCACCTGAGTCAAGAAATTATCATCAATGCTTTGCAGGAACCTCTTTGACTGTTTGTGCCTAGCTGTGCTGTCTCAATGGTCAAAAATGCTCTATTGTCTGAAACAAATTGTGGAGAATCAGCGCCCATGTGCTTCTGTGCTTGATGGATACACATAGTTGTGGCACATTTTATCACCTCTTAGAGAAGAATTTTATTAGAGTTCTTCTAAATCTACATTTCTAATGAACAATTACGTTTCAAATGAATTCAGTTGTCAACCCATGCTTTCCCGGATATTACATAAGGTTTTGATATTTGTTTGTTTGACTCAGATTTTAGGGACTTGAATGAGAAGTCAGAGTTGAGGGGCATATAGTGACTTTCAGTTCCATTGTATTTTCCTGCTCACTTGATTGGGGTGTTCCTGTGGGGGTAAATAATGTGTCTCTGAGCTGCTAGGAGTTGCTTGAACTTACACCAACTGCAGCTGTATTTAAAAAACCAATTCTGCCAGGATGCTTTTAAAGCTTCAGCAGTTGTGAATTGGATTTTAAACCTTTAAGGAGAGTTCAGATGGAATTCTTAGATCTCAAAGAATGTAAAAAATATCTTTATAAGCACTGTCAATATTGGGTAGGTAAACAACGACATTAAAAATATATCTATCACATATGAAGGGATAGAATGTGCTGGCTCAGTTGGAGGGAGGGTAGAGACTAGGTTGTTAAGCTGAAATAACTGGGATGATTCAGGTGCATGTTTTAGGATGCAAACAAATTAAAACAAAGTAATGTTTGTAAAAAAAATTATTATTTTTAAGGTAAAACTTCATCAGGTAAAACTCTAGTGGAATGTAGCGTAAATGAAATGTAGGTTAAAAATGTATTTCTAAAGGTAAGATATGCACTAGCAAAAAAGAAAGTTGACAGTAAGGCCTGCCATCTGTCCATGGGATGCACATCTGTCACATGAACTATGTGTTTGCCTGCCTACTTTAAATATTCTTTGCTGACTTTTGGAAAATTCTAGAAATCCTGGTAATCAGAATCACCAAAGATAAAATTTTAACAATCAAGACTAGGTAGTATGGTTGCTTCCATAGTAAGATTTATTAGTAAGTGAGTAATTATGGTAAAATGTTATTATCGAACAACTTTCTTCTTCTACAGAAGGCTTTACCTCACCAAAGTAGTTCATGTTTTTTGTGGAAGACTTCATATTATTTTATAACTGTCATGTCTGGGCTTTCTTTCTGAGCTGAAACAAAATGTGAATTTTAATCCGAGCCAAGCTAAGAATACTGATTGTTTGAAAAATTTTTGGAATAAAGAAATATGGGGAAAAAAGAGAAACAGATACTGATGGTTGCGGCTTACGCAGTAACGTCTGTCAGCAAACAGCACGTACTGGTGAAGAGATAATTGTAAGCTCTATTTTGGTCTAGCCTTTAGGTGCACAAGGCCCTAGAAAATATAACAAGGTAGAGGCATAGCTGCTCCTGCCGTCTCTTAATAGGAGAGCAAGGAGAATGCCTCTGTTGATCGGTTGGATATTTCCATTCTGGATCCAAGGCAACTCTAGACCCATCATACAAAGTTTTGTTAACACATACTTTATTATTCAGCAACTTTTAAGAATTGTCACCCGTCTTCACCTCCTCAAATTTGACTTAGGGTTCTTACCAGTTTTTAACATTTTCTTCTTTCTCTTTGTATTAAAAGCTCGTAAGATTTCCTTCTCCTTTGCCAGTACTGTCCTGCTGTGCAAGGGTTTCACGTAGTGTTTATTCCTCCAGCCTGTTGTTCTTTGCTCTTCCTTCTTCACTTGCTCTACTACAGAGGCTGCCAGGTAGCGTGCAGTTTTCTAGGAACTTCGACCTTTCCAGCAGGTTTTGTTATATTCTACAAACAGAGGAAGAAGTTAGAACTGGAACTCTTTTAAATGTCCAAACATCTTGTAACAAAGCGTATATTAATAATGCCCATTGGAACACATAGCTTTTTTGAACAGTGGGAAAGCAGTGTATTCTGTATAAAATTCTACATTCATTTTGCTCTTCAGTCTGCTTCTGCCTGACCTTGTCAGCAAGGGAGAATTGCCAAGAGGAGCCATCCAGAGGCTGGTAGGATCAACTTCAGAAGTAGCAGACTTTCAGGCATTAAGGCTATGTCTATATTAGTACATGCGTGGAAATGTTTCTAGGTCCCTGCCCCATTTTTGGCTTGTACATTCGCCCCCCCCCCCCCAAAATTCCCAGGCACAGTTCAGGTATTACAGTGTTCCTTTGAGCATTCCCATTAGGCCATTGTCATGCGCAGCTGCTCTCGGAGGCGATGCAATATAATAGCATAGATGTGGGCTGATCCATGCCAGTGGACTTCAGCCATCAGAGATGTACTCAGGCATTGCTTAATTTGGTATTACGGATGTAGCCTAAGTAAACTCTCTCCCGATCTGCATGGTCTTTCTCTCCTCTGCCTTGTCCAGCCCTCTGCCGTCTTCCTTGCAATCTCAACTATACAGTTGATCTTTTTCTTCTTACTTGTCCTTTAATCTTCCATAATAATGCATTTAGGTTTAAATTTACCTGCTGCACTATGTCCCAGGTTCCCTTCCCAGCAAAAGAAATCCGGCTACCGCATAGATAATGATGTGGTAAAATTGTACTTTTTGCTCTGCTCAGGGAATTTGTATCTCTTCCTTCAGGTTTCCCTGTTAGCTCATTGGTAGTGATTTTGTGTACAGTCCTCTATCTGGAACAAAACACTTCAGTGAAGCCTCCTCCTTCTTGTTTGCTTTTAGGTACTTGTATAGTAAAAACAGAATAACAAGAATAGGACTAGACCTTGAGAGATACCTTGTTTGTCCCCTTACTCCAAGGCGGCAGAAACTCAATGAACAATTGTTTTTCCTTTGTGGACTACAGTGAAATCACTCTTCAAGCTCACTGCTCTTTAAGACAGTCTTTCTTTTTAAGCTTGCTTAGTCTTTTACCCAAAATGCTTATGTCAAAATTGTTAGAAAAATTATAAAACATCCTAACACCTTCATTTTTTTGGTCAGGATAATTACTAACCAGCTTATGCACATCTGGAGCTAATTACAGCATATGTAAAGCCAAATTCTATTTTACTTTGGTTAAATGATGTTCAAATAGCTGTAAACATTCTTCATTGTCTTGTCAGGACGGTGATACCGCAGTTGATTTCGGACATCACTCCAGTGCAAGGCTGAAGTTAAAAGGTCTTTTTTGAAGCTGAGAAGAAGCACGTGAGTACAGATCAGTCATGACAAATCTTTGAATATTACTGTATGCGGCTTTCTTTTGTCCTGTTCTTGTTTACTGATTCATATTCACGTAGTTCCTCTATGCTTCCTCTGATCACTGAGATGTATGACTGCTTGGACTAGATAGCAGAGAACATTTAATTCCTCTCTGACTTGCCCAGCTTTTTCAGGCTCTGCCACAAAACCCAAGTGAAAACATCACCAAGGTCTTTGGAACCTTGGAGATTAGAATGTGGTAAAGAAAAATTCAGTATAACAAGTCACATTTTAGCTTTACCTGGCAGGAGTATTCCATTTTTAGAAGTTAGCAAAATAATATCCTAGATTTTTCCAGAAGAAAGTGAAAATAACAAAAGTTTTTTTTTTTTTTATACTCAGATACAGGATGCAACATTTTCTAGTGGATGATTGCCTGTTGCATTTGCTCTGAATCTTTCTGTGGTAATGCTTTTGGACTTTGATGGTTGGCTTTTGCTTTAAAAGGAATTCAGTACAGTTAGTAGTAAGAAAATCACACACTGGTCGCTGAAAACAGTTAGATTTTTGCTCCTTAAGTTGGTTATGCTTGAGCATTGAGCAGCTAAAGTTAAGTTTCACTGTATAGCTTCATTACAGCAACTGCATTAAGAGTATTGTAATTAACCTAATTTAGTTAGAAAATTCTTTTAGATTAAATTTTTATAAATATTCTTGTAATACATTAATATTTTAAAAGACCAGACAAGCTAGTAATGAGTCCCTGAGTTTGGGTATCCCTGGTTTGTTGAAACAGGAGCAGTCTCTGTTCCTCTGGGAACCAGGAGTATTCCGTGATATCAAGGACCTTGAGTTGAAATCTTGTTTGAACTGCTGCGTGTGTTAACAGTTTGAACCTCCCTGTAAAGAAGCACTTTTAGTGGATAAAGTACTACCTTGGGAGTTGGCATGCCTGCACTGAATACCTTGCTTTGCTCCAGATTTTCACAGCTATCTTGAGCAAATCATATAAGGCTATGAATCAAGTTTTTTACCTTAGCGAGATCTGGAAAAAGACGTTCTGAAGGAATTAGTGCAAGATGAGAGCTTAGGAAGCCACTCACATTTATTTCAGATTTCTCCATACTTGCTGTTGCAACGAAGAATTGATTTACATGTTCGGTATTTTAATTGTTCAAATGCAGTTTTAACTATTCAAATGTTTTCCAAAGCTTCATCCTCCGGGAGGAAGCACAAGCCTTTTTAAACCTAATTCAAAGGACAAGACGCTCCTGGTATGTGCTTTGCTGTAGCTATCCTTAACCACTGGATAATTGGAAAGGAAAATGCCTTTCTTCCAGTTTAACTTCATGTTACTGATTCAGGAAAGCCTCTTCCAAGGACTTAAGGCGCTGTCCTGAAGCCTACGGTATGAGTATGGCAGAACCACAGGAAAAAGAAAAGATACAATTTTAGATTTAGCAGTGTCGTGGATCGAAAAATATATAGCACTGTACGAGGACAGTACTCTGGACAGCACTGTAGTGTCACACCGAAAATACAGATTTCATGCATGGCTTTATGTGAATATATGGTAATATATTTGCAAAACAGTTTTCTTTCTTCCATTGCCCAATGGGGAAGACAGAGAAAAAGAGCAGATTCTTTGCTTTCCAAGAAGTGATGGAAGTATGTCCGACTTTCTATCACCTATTTATAAACATATGTCTGAGAGATCTGCTCGTCTTTCGTAACAGTAGGTAGTTTCTCCATGAATAGTGTCAGTATTTTGGAGAAGTGTTTGTTTTTGGTAGAAATTTATTTATTATACTGGAGTGTAGTAATTGCAGTCTGGTGAGCCAGCAGTAGGGATTTTTTGAGGATGTTTTTCTGGAAATTTGCTATGTTCTGTACCAAGTAATGTCAGAAATGCAATAATAGTGACTTGTGTATCTGTAACAGTTTGGCAGTATCATTATATTGAATTCCAAAATGTCTGGAACTTAAGGCATATGGAGGAAAGTAACTATTATTCTGTTTCCTCAGTTATTTTCTCCCATAACTTGAAGTTAAATACAATCTATAAAAATGCTGCCTGTAAAGAAAGCCAAAATCTTTTTGGCCTTTGTAGCACTACTCGTCTCTATTCATTGCAGTATGTAAAAGCAGGGAGCAAATTTTTTGGTAGTCCGTGAGGAAACAGTAGTAAATTCTGACTGGAAGTTCTTCACTATATCATTTAGAGTTGATAGTTTTTTATGGCAGGACACAATCTCTTTGCATTGGTTAAAAAGTAGGATTCAGTCATAAAAGTAGGCACAGAAATGCATAAAAATGAAATTGTTTTTATAAGTCAATTTTTAATTAACATAGATAAAATGTCCGTATACCCTCTATCCTGTCTTTCAACAATCCACTTACTGTTTAGGAGTAAGTTTTAGAAAACTGAGTTAGAGTTGAAAAAACTGAAACTAAGACAAAAAACAATGACAAAAAACTGCAAAAGCAGTAAGAAATGTCCCATTTTTGGACTGATAACTTAAATGGGTCACTTTTTAGGACTATTTGCAGTCTAGCTGCATCTGGACATTCTAGGTTGAATAGACTTTGCAAAAAAAAGGTTAAAGTTTTCTAAATTTGAGTATTTTGTGTTTTCCTGAGCGGCATTTTAATTATAGTATTGATAATTATGACACTAATGTAACTCAACAGTACTGTATTGACTATTTGTGGAAGAAGAGGCATTGTGCTGTTTTCTTTTTTTCTTGGCACTGTAGGACTTATACAGAGTGACTCATGTAGACATGCTATATATAGTTTTGCATTTTGTTTTCCTACGGAACATTCAGTTTCTGTCTATATATACATACCATACACACACACACACTTATTTTGTGTAGGACAAGCATTATATTACCAACTTAAAAGAAGGATGCATCTTACATAGGTAGCTTGCAACTGAACTTGAACTCTCTGAAGAGTTAAGTAAGGACTCTTGATTTGCTGGAGCTGATGTGCATGACAGAGGTGTAAAACATTTGATGGCAGTGAATCATAGGAGCTATTCCATCAGCTGCACAATGTATTGACATTAACTATATCCATGAAGAAGGCTTAAGCCTTCCTCATCTCTGGTCAGAAGGCAAATAAGTTTTGTTGCTAGTGTAGGCAGAAGGGACACAGCATAATGATGGAAAGAAAATACAGTGCCTTTTTCCCAATAAATTATTGGATGAGCACTGATGGGCTTTATCTACAATCTAGTTTCCACCAGGAACCGTCTGAAACATAAACAGTACTTTACTTTTTAATGGAATAGTATTAGATCAGAGAGACTGTTTATTGTCGTATTTTGAATTATCTTTCTAGGGTGATTGTGAATAGCTGTAAATTACTGATTTGAGAGAACTTGAAGGCAATGAAAATGAGGGCAACTTTTTTGTCAAAAAGTAGTTTACATTCATAGAATCGAATTTGTGGCCTGGAACGATGAGGTAGTAAATTTTTTCTATGATTATACAAAGTATCAAACTATGTATTTTAACTGACCTGCTTTTCAGTTTGGGTGAACATTAAGTACAGCCTTAATGGTCTGATTTGCTGGGAAGAGCACTCTTACAATAATCTGCTTTTTACAGCCCATATCAAATACGAGCTTGCATCACTTAATACAAAGTTTGTGCTTTGAGAGATATTTTCACAGCATCTAGGAGCAATGCCCCACATTTCTTGGAATTAGTCCTTAATGGTGTCATGTTCAGAAATGAGTTGTTGCTCAAGTACACTGATTATGTTGTGGTTTCTGTCCGATCCAATAGCTATATTTAAAATATCATAGAAATGTGTAAGGAAAAGCTGGTTGAAAACTGCTGCTTTTTCAAGTAATTGTATGAAATGGGAAGAGATGGTGTGCATCTTAAATAATTCTGTGATTCTTTTTTCTGTATGACACAAATAATAGAGGTGAGAACTCTTAATTCTTAACGGAACTGAATACAGGTTTCTAAATGTGGCCTGCTTGAGAACAGAGGACCATTACTGTAGTTGTCATGTAAAATAAAGTTGGAGTCTGAAGCTCCTTTTTAGCTGTCAGCTTTATTAAGGAGCTAGTGGTGTGTTGAACTAGGCACCCGCATTATATAAGCAGTGTAGGGTAGTGTCTAGGGAAAATTTTCTCTTTCTTCACCGCTGCTTTATTAGGTCGCTCCGTCGTTCACCGGTGCCCTGTCTTACTCCAGCTTTCTGGCTGCAGCTCACAGCACAGTAGGTCTAATGTAGATTGACGCCTTTGCCAGAGGACTGATTGAAACTTGTGTCTCATAGTTGCTAATGCTCACTCAACCGTTTTATTGAAGATAAAGTAAATAAAATAGATTGCCATATGAGAATTCCCTGAAATCAAATGGAATAATTTGACAGGTTTAAGCCCATGAAAAAACTAAAGCATTGAAGCAGATGGGAATACTTTTTATGCACAGTATACCCAGAAAAGGTGTCTGCTGGCTTGATGTTAAACTGCTAGTGTTTTTTTACCAAAACTATGATTGTTGAAAATATTGTCATCATTTCCAGTGCAGTTTCCATTGTTGTTTAAGATGTTACTTCTCTCAGACAGAGAGAGTGTTTTGACTAAGAGTAGTGGATACACAGATTTTGTTTTCTTACTGCTTCTGATGCCTTACTATATAGATTGCAAGTCTCAACATTTAATTTAAAATAAGTGCAGTGTGGTAATATTTCTAGAGTGCATTGTATGATCTTCAAGATGAACTAAGAATGAGTTTATCCTTTGAGAGAAGAATTCTGTGAAAAAATGCAAAATAGGTTATTTCTTTCACAAGATTTTGATAATCACTAAGTGATATAATTTTAATTATTACAAGTAAAATTGCTGCAGTAAACACTGATGTTCTAAAAGTATGTCATATATGACTATGATACAGTATTAGAAAGATACAACTGCTAAAACTGTTGTTACAAATTGTTTAGACTTAACGGTCAACAAAAAACAAGCACTCTTCACTGCA